TTTAAATGCAAGAAAACTGTAAAATGACTTTAAGTAAAAAAGGTGTTCGAATGATAAAAACTTGAAGATAAAGGCATGAAATGTATAACAGTTTCTGAAATGTAAAATATTTGAAATGGAAAGAAAGCATTTAAATGTAAGGCATCAGTAAAAAGACTTCGAATGAAAACATTTTAAATGCAAAAGCTTGTAAATGGTATTGACATGAAGATAAAGGAAAGTACTGGAAATGATAAAGAGTTTTCATTAAATCATAAACATGTGGTGCTATCATACGTACATTGCTCGTGCATTCGTTTCCCTAGTCATGTGGTATTTTGAATGTTTACTGAGTTTTTTGTACAATATATATGACACACGAAATCCTAATGCTAAGACTTCTATTTATACTACTTCGACCATAACGGTCTTGCTATAAGATTCTGCCACGTTCAGAACATGCAGAGAAATGCCTCTCTCTTGCTTCCACGCGCCTTCAAATGCTCCAGCGCATATATTTCAAATTTCGAACATCCCGCTTGCATTTGAATTTCAAATGTTTTGGCACTTCTTCGCTTCGAACGCATTTCTTAGACACATCCTTGTTATCATTTCGAGACTTCTTTGAATATAATCTCCTAACTGTCACTCGAAGCTCCAAGCTTTGATATGCCCATTCGAAGCACTGCTTCTACCATTTCGAAACATGACGTTTTGTTTCATTTCAACCGAAACGTCCAATTTACTTTGCTTCTAATAATATCATCAAAATCTTCAGCCAACACCTACATGGTAATTTGTTGAGGGCTTATGCCCTGATGGTACCACATGCATTTCGCATCAGAGTCCGTTGCATTGCATTGGTTGAATTGTCAAATCGTTGGATTGTTGGATTTTGGAATTGTTGGGTTGTGGCATTGTTGAATTGTGGACTTGTGGAAGTGGTGTGATTGATAATTGTAGAACTTGAATCTCTTCATGACATATCTGTTGTTTACTCATAATTATATAACTTATTATATTATTATGATATCTTACCCTTATTGTTTGAATGTTTCCTCCACGTGGGTAACATGTAGATAGCTAGGAGTAGTGTGAAGTCGCGGAGTCTAGAAGAGGTTACTTTCTCTTAGTGAGTGGATGGCATTGCTCTGATACGTAACACCAGAGGGATGAACACTCGATTGTTTTATTTAATTGATGTCTTTTTGAGGATTTTGGGATTGTTGTAGACTCTCTTTTAATTGATTTCATCGTTGATTTTATAATGGTTGAAGATTCTAGAATAATTATGAAATTCTTTCTGCTACATTAATAAAGTTGAAGTTTGAAGACTACGTTGAAAGGTTGTTAGTTCATCTGAAACGTGTGTTATGTATTTGTTTTATCTTAACTGAGCAAATTTGAATATGTTGAATGATGTAACATCCTATTAATGTACAAATTTTAATTTACTCTGATTTTTATTAAAATTACCGTCGAAGAAATAAGGTGTTACATGTTGCATGTGAAGAAAGTTTTGTAGAATTGAAGAATAAGTTGACGATAACTCCGATATTAATTTTGCCTAATCCAAGTGAGCCTTTTGTGGTGTATTATGATGCGTCTGAGATGAAACTTAGTGGTGTATTGATGCAAAATGGATAGATTGTTGCTTATGCTTCTAGGAAACTGAAAGTTCATGAAAGGAATTATCCTATGCATGACTTAGAGTTCGCAGTTTTGGTGTTTGAATTGAAGATTTGGAGACATTATCTTTTTGGCTCTAAATTCGAAGTGTTTAGTGATCACAAAAGTTTAAATTACTTGTTTGATCAGAAGGAATTGAATATGAGGCAGAGAAGATGGCTAGAGTTATTGAAAGTTTATGATTTTGATTTGAATTACCATCCTGGTAAAACAAATATGGTGGCCGATGCATTGAGTAGAAAGTCTTTACATATGTGGATGCTTATGGTACATGAATTAGAAATGATCGAACAATTCAGAGATATGAGTTAGAATACAACACAAGCAAAGACTGTTATATTTTATGTTCAACATGAACAAGAGTGTTTGAAATCATTTAACCATTCCAGAAAGATTCACAGGCTTGATCATCCTCAGGAAGAGTGGTTCCTTAGTGTGTTTTGGTACTCTGGTCTTGCTGGTCTTTGAGTAGTGTAAGAACACCATGGATGTATATGTCAATTTTTCTTGGTTGGAGACATTGTATAATAACAACTTGGAGTTGGCCGAAGACCCCGGCGCTGATTATCTATAGGTTGTCTATCACAAGGAGTGTGCATTGAGGCGCTTCTTCTTATTTTTGGTTGGCACATCCATGTTTGTGGACAAAAGTACAACCTACATGAAAGTGACATACCTCAAACATTTCATCAACTTGACGATCATTCACGAGTGAAACTGGAGGCCGCATGTTTGATATACCTGTATCAAAGCTTAGCGAAGGTTCTCGTTGGAGTACAAAGCAAATGACAAGTTCATGCACCATGCTTATGGTAATTTCCAAATTCCAGTGCTAATTTAAAAACAAATTTTTTACACATGTTAGTAATGCTTTTTTTTGCTTATTTGTTTTTCAGGGGCGGATCCTAGCCCACTATCACTGCATACATGAGTTTGGGCATGATTCATTGTATAATAAGGATCACCCACATGCTTGCATGCATCTCCCGCACAGAGGAAACTGTGTTGTGGTGTCGTTTTGTGTGTATATTGACCAGGCTCAACACGATGACGTCGACTGGATGTCATACACTACTCACCAGGACACTATACTATTCGACCACGTTTCATTATACTTTAGATGATTGGTATGTAGGACTAATATCATGTGCAGGTATCTACCAGAGTGGTGCATGCGACCGTTTGAGTATATGCAGATCATTATGAGGTCCCCCTTTCAGGTTGCTCTTGAGAGCATTGTTCGCAAACTATTGGATGGCATTCTCGCGGATTTTGAGTCGTTTGATACTAGAGGAGTATCCGAGTAAGGCAGCCACATCTAAGTGGTCTTATGTGGATGGTTACATGACTTAGTTCTATTTTGTGTCACACCATTACATGACATCAAATGCTCTTGGATGTCCATTGAGGCCTGCTCATGAGGAGATCCCGGAGAATGGGAAAGCCGATGATGATAATGTCATTGATATGTTGTCGATCTGTCAAAACATTATGCTGATGACAGAAGAGGGCATCGAGCCAGGGTTGTTTGAGAGAGGTAGTGATGAAGCGGTTGTCCTAGCACGTTTCATTCTTATTGAGGCACGAAATGTCTTGGGTTATTGTAGACAAAGGAGGAGTCGGGGTGCTAGGATTAGGCGTACTCAGTAGATTATGTATTTGATTGTATTTTGTATATTTTTCATACTTTGAGAATAATTTTTGTACTATGATTGCCTTTATGATTAATTAGCACATTACTTTATTCTATGATATTTGTGTTTATTAATCTTTGAAACAAATAATGACAATATTAATCGAATTAAAATTACTTTGGATTGAAAAAAAATACAATCTCAGTACATTGTTTCTGCACAAGAACATGCAGGTAAGACTTCACAGACGTATATCCGAATTTACTCCACAAATAATTTGTAGATACATCTCCGAACTATTTTCTTAAGAAAAGGGGTGACTGTTTGATTCGGTAAAGAAGAAATGTGACTTTAGAGATGTATTTGCGAATTAATTTTGGATTTATTCGGAGAAACATCTCCGAATTAAATTTTGAAGAAAAAAAAACGTATTTGATGTGTTCAGAGATGTATCTCCGAATAAACTCAAAGGTATTTTAGAATTTTTATGTGTGCCCCACTACAAAGAAAAATTCCATTGAGTTAATGGTGTATGATATTTGAAATTTGCATAAATTGCACAGTACTTAAAATACAAAAATATATTTGATAACCGATTTGTCTCCCATCTCTAAGAACTCCGCACATGATCAACCTAGCCCAATGGTCTTGAGAGTTGATAAGATCCTAACAAAGTTTGAGTTGAAGGCTTCATTCAAAGTTGAAATGGATATGATGCCTAATTCTTCATTTGCACTGACGACACCTATGCCAAGCAACCGGAACTAATTTCCTCTTATTAATGTATTTGATCAAAAATACATACCAAGAATAAATGAGCAGGCAATGCAGTAACTTGCTATGAATGACACACTTAACTACTTGAATCCTTTCAACTATGGACAAATAGAAATCTTCCTAACATCTAGGCTTAAAGATATGTACTTATCCTAACACAAATTTTCAACTCATGAATGATATGAACATTTATAATTGGTTTTTAAACCATCGCTTATATCTTTCTCCCCTTCTCATTTGAGACTACTTATTGAGTACCATCATAGGTATGACGAGAGTATTTTACAATTTCATAATTAATTTATCATAGCAAGTTACATACGAATTTAAAAATAAAACAATTTTTGTTCATCCTACTTAACCCTGTACCCATGAAGTCCAAAGTAATTTCCCCCTTTTTTCTTAGTTTGTTGACGAAATCTACTCAACAAAAAAGATTTCCGTCTTCAAACTTTGATGTAATGCTTTTCAAATGAGGGATCCGAATAATCACTAGAAGAATGAAAAGAACTAATAAGGAACAACATTATAGAAAAAGAATCACACATTTTGTATGAATGAGACTTGCCAATTCACAAATTGCACAAGGAGATTCTCATATGGTTGAAATTGCACACTTAAACTTGGTCAAGAATCAAAGAAAGGAAAAAGGTTTTGAATGGTTGAAAAAGAGATCTAAGAGGCTAGTGTTCTGCGTTTTCAGCACTGGGTTAGAACTCAATACCTCTTTGAGCGAAATCTTTTAGAAATCTTTTACTATTATAAGAAAACCACGTACTATTTATTTAGGCATATTATCCTACTAACATTAGGCAAGACTGGTTATTGATAAACTCAGTGCTCATATACATTGATAAGCCTCAACTTAGTTGAATATACAATGGAGAAAGAGTGAAAGTGAAAATTTTATTATATTAACTTCTAAATAGCATACATTTTAGTACGCTCGTTGTTTAATATCTCAGAATCTGACATAACAACTGAAACTGAAAATGACCTTGACCTGCTTCCCATTGAAGATTTACGTATACTCCTCAAATTTGAAGCTTCAATTCTATGCCTAATAACCCAATAACACATAGTACCCAATGTAGTAGCCATAATAGTTGTTCCAATAATGGTTACTCCAATTGCAAGCCACCTTTGATTTTTCCCAACAACTACAAAAGACAGTGCCAAAAATGAAACAGAAATAAGCACACAAGCCAGCCACATTAGTTTGTTAATAATAGCCATCATTTGTTTCTTTGCTTTGCTTTCAATGACAACTATTGAAGTTTGAACCACCACAACCGCTAAAGAAATGAAAAGCGCAAACGAATCGAACACAAAGAAGATTAGAAACGCAGCTTGTGGCGCTATGTTTGCTTCTCCGAGCGACTTTCCTTTAGGAACTTTTTTTGGATCGTCCACGAATTGGCCTGGGACGGTGAAGATAGCGGCGAATGCAACCGTTGCTATGAGAACTGCAACGACGGTTGTTGAGTTTATTGCGTTGTTGAGTCCTTCTGTGTGCATTTTGTTGAGACGTTTTGCGATTCCTTGAACGCTTTTTCGCGTTTGGCGAGTGTGTTCTAGTTGGTGATGGACTTCATGCTTTATGTCGCTAACAGTTTGTTTTAATTCTCTGGCAGCTGTTTTTGGTTGAGATTTTGTTATGGATTTTCCACTTTGAATACCGTGTTCTGTTAGAATGCTTTTTACTTCAGAGTTTCCTGTTTTCTCAGCTGTGTCTAATGCTGTTTCGCCACTTTTGTTTATTGCCATACCATCTGTTTCACTCTGTCCAAGTATCAACTTAATAATCTGCATAGAGAAAAGTTAAAAGAGCTTAGTCGACATAGATGGTGGTGATCTAATCGACATTTCACTTATTGTAAATATGACCTTATCTATATACGGAGTAATTGTTTGAGTAAATGTTAGAAGAGTTATGGTAGGCACAATCAAATTTACCTGAGTCCTACCCTTCCTGGTAGCTATATGCAATGCTGTATTGCCCTTATTATCAACCATGTTTATTGTTGATGGGTCTGCTTTTATCAACTCCTCTACTACCACAAGGCTCTGTCCCTTCACCGCCATATGAAGCGCGGTCTGTCCCTTTTTATCAGTCCTTGTTACAACACCAGGCTCCTTCTCCAGAATCGCTTTGACGACCTCCAAATGTCCGTTTCTTGCAGCAGAATGCAAAGCTGTTTTGCCGTTACTTCTAGCAATTGCAGCCAAGCTACTACCTGTTTCTAATAGAAATTTCACTATCTCAGTGTGCCCTTGTGTTGCAGCGGTGTGTAAGGCTGTAGTGTTGGATGGATCCACAGTCATCGCCAGTTCAGAATGAGCCTCCATTAAGATCTTCACTATATCTACAACAAAGAAAACAAAAATAGTTTGTAAACACTTTCCGAGTCTTGATGTTGGCCTTGATCAATCCTTAAATCCAACTCATCTAAACTCTAATTTATAGTACAAAAAGAAAACAGAACTGTAATTCCATTTGAAAATCACACAAGTGTCACAAAAGCACAAAATGAGCAACTTGGTGCAACAAAACTATACTCATGTTGTTTTTAAAGTCCACGGACTCAATTTGGATTGAAATATCAAAGTTTTTGATGTATGCTTTTGACTGTGATTCTCCGCAAAGATTGACTCCAATCATGATTCCTTTTTCATGTGACAGTTACCACAATTTAAAATATCAACTCCAACCATGATTCCTTTTCCACACAACACAAAAAAGAACAATCAATTGAAAAAAAACACACTACATAAAAGACATACCTAAATCCCCTTGTTTAGCAGCAATATGAAGTGCATCAAAACCATTTCTTGCTTTAATTCCAGCATCAGCAAGATCATAATACTGAATCATCTCTCTAACCATATCAACATAACCATACTCAGCAGCAACATAAAGAGCCGTTTCTCCACCTTGATTCTGCTTCGCAAACACTTCACGCAGTTTACCCTCTTCAGCACCATCCACCGTCCCCTTCAAAGAAGCCATATCTCCGGCTCTCGCCGCAGAATGTAAAGGCGTATCATCACGCTTCCCCGTCAACTGTTTCGTCATTTTCTTCCTAGTGGACCTTACCGGTGCAACCTGAGGCTGCACAGTTTCAGCTTCTGTCTCCATCGGATACAGTTCACCAAAACTAATAAACCCCTTTTTTTTTCTTTCCGACTTCAATCAATTTCTCATAATCAAAATCTTCTTTTTCTTCATTCCAACAAAAACACAAACACAATATCAGCATCTTCCATTACAAATAACTGTCATCAAAACCAAAATATAAAAAAAAAAAAAATAATAATAATTTTTATTGCATTTTCTTCATCCTTGAGTTAAGGAAACAAAATTCAAAAAAAAAAAAAAAAAACACACAGATGGGTTCAGTTAAACCATTCATCAAACAGGTGGAAGGAAGAATCTCATTCTCACCTTATTTAAGTGTTCCATTAAAAAAAGCATTGAACTTCAAGAGTAGCTTTTAGGGAACTAACACATATGTGATGTTGGTGTAGTAGGACACCCTGTAACAAAAAAAAAAAAAAAGAAAAAAAGTTTGATGATATTATTAAAGTGATATAGTAAAATGACAAGAAGAAAAAGAAGAAAAGAGGATAATAAGACACGAAACTCACATGTAAAAAAGAACTTTATATGAATCTAAATCAGAGATATATTATATAGTTCAATGTTGAGAAATACATGTATAAAAAGGTAGTGATGATGAAGAAGAAACGAGAAAGTGTTGTGAAATAGTATTTTAGAACAGAATGAGTGAATGAATGATAAAGAGGAGATGAATAGAGGAAAAGAAGAAAAAGCGTTGCGAAAAGAAAATAGTGGTGGAAGTGTTTAATTAAGGGAGAAAACAAGACTGGTGGGTCCCGGTTTTGGAACTGATAGGACCACGCGCTTTTAGATTCCCATTAGGGCGAGTGGAGTCAGAGGGTTTTGGTTTATGGAACAGTTTTTACAGTCCACGTTATCCACACTTTTTTTATCACCACTTGATAAAGACACAATCACCTTTAATGACTGAAATAGGCTGTTGAGAAGTTGCGATGCCACATACCCGATTAAGGGCTTCCACAAATGAATTCGAAGTAGGATACTTGAAAATAACCAATTCTTTGGTTGTGGTTGTTGAAGCAAGACAACTCCATGGAATGTTGAAACGATCTGTATAATATTTTTTCTGTAAAAAAATAATAAATATTTTTAACAGAATTTATTGGTACTATGTTTCCGCTAATTTACTACTACGATATTACTGTCGTCTAGCACAAGTGATTGATTATGTGAGTGTGGAAAATCCATAACTACTAATTTATTAATTCAATGAAAAACATGTTACTAATGAAATTAAAGTGAGTTTGAAGAGTAATTACCATAAACACAATGAACAAAAGAGAATGGTTGTTGTGATGCTGATGAGAACAGAAGAGATGATGAGTAAAGGAGATAAAGATAATTGAGAAAAAAAAATGACGAGACGATGTGTATATTCTATGAATATTTGGATAGTGAAATAATTATTTGGATAGTGAAATAATATATTATACAATAAAATATAAAAATAAAATAATTCACTAATGACTCTTTATTTTCTAATACATTAATATTTTTATGTAAAATTATATAATTATATATTATATAATATATAAAAGTTATATAATATGGTCGGAGTCGGAGAATCTACAGGGCGAAAGGTACTTTTGCAATCTCTATTTTAGAGTGTCAACAAAGAAACTTTGGAACGAATATTTCTATGTGTAATGGATATTTATTAGCACGTTTGGATACACTGTTGGTGATTTTAGTATCACCAATGTATTTTAGTAGTAATGTGATTTACTAAAGGCCGATGCAATTATGCGTTAAGCTTAGAAACGAGTTAGGGAAGTGCGGAGTGCACGCTCGTCGAGCCAATGTATAATTGAATATGAAAAATTGAAACGAGGTTCCAAGGGGCGAAGCCCCTGGCGGGGTACGGGGCAGCGCCCCGTTGGGGTTCCAAGGGGCGAAGCCCCTGGCAGGGTGCGGGGCAGCGTCCCGTTCGAAAATTTTGAATCATTTTCCCCAACCGACATAACTGTTTTTCCGAACAGGTGTGTCTTTTCGGTTTCAGTTATTGATCTCCTATATAATGAGTCATTTGGCCTCGGTTTCAAATACGAAAAATGACACTTTCTCTCTACATTTGTAATCAGTTTCTTTTGCCAAAAACAGACTGTTCTTCGAGAATTATCCCCACAAAGATTTCGTGAACCCAGGCAAGAATAGGGTCGAAATACTTTGTTTGGAAAGTGTACGAACACGATTCTTCGAAGTTATCCAGGATTATCATACCCAAATATCTAACATACACTTTGGAATCCCCAAAAACAAGGTGAATTTTTATGGCAATGCAAAAACTATGTTTTATTGCTTTTCATTTTTACGGTAGGATGGATTTGAAATGCACATTTGGTGTTTCTACCATCAAGCTAAACATATACTAACTCTTTCTTTGTAAATCTCTACTTTTGCATACTAATTTTTGCTTAAGAAAAAAAACTAAATAACAATAAATATTTAATAGGAGTACATTATGGCTCTGTTTGGTAAAAACAATGGTTGAATAGTTGAAAGTGTAATTCTTTGTGTCAAAGTAGGTTGTTGCTTAACACAAGGTGTGTCAAAGAAGGTTGTTGCTCGAACTCAAGGTGTGTTGATCTAGCCTAAGTCTAGTTGTTAGCGGTCGAAGTCATTACAAGATAAATGTTCTCCAACGAAGTGAAGTTGTGACGTGATTATCATGTGACAGGTTGTGATGTGATAATCATGTCGCTACATAATTTTAATAATAAATTATGAAAAGTAATGTTAACAAAAGAAGAGTCAGAAAATATTTTTTATAAAAAAAGTTGCAACGTGAATTCCACGTCGCAACCAATCAATTAAAATATATATTTCAGAAAGTTATAACCTGCACATGGTGGGAAGTTTGAAATCTTCAAATTTCAAGTTGTGACATGATATTCACGTCACAACTTTTTAGGGGGAAAAACTGTCTGCCTTGATGTTGACTACGCAGGACGTTGCGACGTGATAATCGCGTGGCAAAATTGCGACGTGATTATCACGTCGCTGACTGTTTATATATATATTTTTCGTTTCACAGATCTTCTCCACTTTTGTTTCTTCTTTCATTCTCTTCCTTTTCTGTTTCTTCTTTCATTCTCTTCCTTTTCTGTTTCATCTTCTTCCTTCTACCTTTATCTTCTCCAATTTTAATTTCTATTTCACTTCTAATTTTTAAAGGTAGTCAACCATCTTCTCTAATTTTGTTTCAATTTTTTTTATAATGTTGTTTAATGTTTATTCTGTAATATGATTTTGATTTATATTTTTTTCTTCCAAGAAATTGATAAGAAGAAGATTGAAGAATATTGAAGAGGATTTAAAAAAGATAGAACAAGAAGATTGAAGGAGATTCAAGAGAGATATTTTTATAATTTTTTTTAAATTTGATATTTTTTCAGGATTATTGATTGATTATTTAGGTTAAATTTGATATTTATTTTGTAAAAGTTGTTAGTAAATTAATATTATAATTTTTATAAATGAAAAATAAAACAAAAATATATTTTAGAATTTTATTTAAAACGAAATTATGTATATATAATACAAATTTATTTTATATTTATTAAATATATGGTATTTATATTATAAAACAGAATATAAAAAATATTAATAATAATAATAATAAAACGAAATAATATATATATATATATATATATATATATATATATATATATATATATATATATATATATATATATATATATATATATATATATATATATATATATATATATATATATATATATATATATATATATATATATATATATATATATATATATATATATATATATATATATATATATATATATATATATATATATATATATATATATATATATATATATTGAGTATCAAAAAAAGATTAGTGACGTGAAAATCACGTCGCAACTTATTTTTTATAAAAAAACAAAAGCTGAACAAAGAGAAAGTGTGAATGGTTACTAATTTACGACGTGATTTTCACGTCACTAATTTGTGACGTAAAAATCACGTGGTAAATAAATTGCTTTTTCTGCATTCCTTCTGTTGCGCCTGCTGTCACTGCAAAGTCAGAATGTCTATAAAAATATGTTGCGACGTGATTTTCACGTCACAACTTTGTGACATGAAAATCACGTCGTAAATAAATTGTCACCCGTTCCCCAGTCACGTGATCACTCACGTCGCAAATTAGGAGTTGTGACATAATTTTTCATGTTGTGACGTGAATTTCACGTCGCAAATGAGAGTGTTTTTTGTAGTGAGTGTTATAAGTAGGTTGCTACACACAAATTTTGATTTAGGTCTAAAATAGGTATTTTGCGCTTTTATAGTTTTAGGCTTTTTGGCTTAGGGAGAAAGTAATCTCAATTATAAATAGTGAGAGAAACTCCTATTTTTGTAACACATTGAATATTCACAGAATTTGCAGTTGCAAGTGAATAAGAAAGTTTTTCACAGTTTGTAGACAGAGAGAAACTCTGTAGAAACCCTAAATCTCTTTTCTTCTTTAATTTTCTTTTCATTGTCATTGTATGGTGTTAACAATCTTATTCATCAAGATTGATAGAAATTCAGCATTGCTTTGGTGGATTTCCAACATCTGGTATTAGAAGATCCGGTTGAGCGATCAAGGGAAGAAGAAGAAAATCACAATGACGGTGAATTATGTGAATGGAAATTTTCCAGCAAGTCTTCTAATTCTGAAAGGAATTATGTGAATGAGAATTTTCCAGCAAGCCTTCCAATTCTGAAAGGTGATAACTATGAGAATTGGTGCAAACAAATGAAGGTTATATTTTATTATCAAGGTCTTTGGGATCTTGTGAAAGAAGGATTAGAACCACTTGCAGAAAAGGCAACGGACGAATAAAAGACAACACATAAAGAATTGAAGAAGAAGAATTATAAAGCTCTCTTTATAATTCAACAATGTGTTAGTCCATAAAATTTTGAAAAGATTAGTGATATAGAATATGCAAAAGAAGCTTGGGAGATTCTTGAGAAATCTTTTGGAG